AAACATAATTGAAAAAGTGTTTTCAGTTAAATTGTTGACAACTTCTTTTTGATATTCGATCTAATTTTTCCTCTCTATCACATTCACGGAGAAAACATAATTGAAAAAGTGTTTTCAGTTAAATTGTTGACAACTTCTTTTTGATATTCGATCTAATTTTTCCTCTCTATCACATTCACGGGAAAAACATATCTCCATATATAAAGTATTTGTGCTTGATTTTGACCTAATTATCCTCCAAACCTAAAAAGTTAAAAATAATTAAATTGAAAAAATTTTGTTCCAGGGAAATACCAATTTCACCATTATGAATTACCACAAAAAATTAATGAAGGTTGCTTCATGTACAGAAGCAAAAACACCAGGAATTCCTCACAACACTCACACCATGTAGGCCTGAGAATTTTTTCTAAAAAATACACGTTAGTATTCTGGTGCATTTCTGTTGAAATGTTTCTGTGCAAATGCAATTACTCAAAATTAATTCCTACATTGATAGGAAAATAAAGATAGATAAATCTAATTTTTTTCTACTTTTTAACCACATATTCTTTAAAAATTCACTATTACAAAATACATTATCAACAAAAATGGGGGCTCAAATACATTCTTAATACCAGACACTTCAATCAAATTTTGAAAAATAGAGGATTTTTACGTTCTTGGGTCAATTGATCCTTTGAACGGATTCCGCTAAAAAATATCGTTAGTGCTATATGTGGAATGCAATTGCTTTTATTTTGTCTTTATTAAATGGATAAAACTTCAAAAACCCGAATTTTAGTGATTTCCAACATGTTTGATGCTGGCTAAATGCTAAACTAGGTAGAGGCCAGAGAAGAAAATTAACTGCACATTAATTGAGGATGTTTATATACTCAAATGCTATTACTATTTAAAGCAAACCCAATTTCATGTTGAAGATTCAGATTGTGAAACTACATTTAAGGTTGTGAATTTTTTCTATAAAGCAACCAAAGTTTGATCAGGTGTTTATTACACAACAAATTTGATACTTACACTACTAGTAGACATTGGTAATCAATTTTCAAGTTACAAGTACGATGCATTTTTTACTGAGAAGTTGTTTATGCGATTGAAGAAAAATTTCAAAAATATTGGCAGTTGTGATGGATCCAAGAGTTAAATTATTTGGAGTTCAATTTGCTATTCAAAAAGTTTTAAGTTTTAATATAAATATTGCAAATCATGAATTTGAATGTTTTATTAATGAATTGTATAATTCCAATTTAAGGAAATATGGAAATGATAAAAGTGTTTGTTCATCTACTAGCTCTGCAACATATTCCAAAGGTAAATGTTCTTTTTAGTCTGAGATAGCTAAGAAACATCATAATGTGTATAGTTGTAACATTGGTGCGAACACCACACCTGTTGAATTGGAAAGATATTACCAATTTGATCATTACAGTTTAATTCCGGAGGATGAAGTATTAAATTTAGATATCTTAAATTGGTGGAAAACAAATGAAAGATCGTATCTAATAATATCAAAAATGGCATTAGATTTACTAACAATTCCGACATCAACAGTGGCATCCGAATCTTTTTTATTGTAAGTGGTAGGGTATTGGATGAAAGGAGGTCGAGACTCAAAGAAGGTATATTGGAAGCTCTTATATGTGTGAAAGATTAGATATTTGAAGCTAAGAAAATGCAGATAAAATGATTGACAACATCACTGAAGACTTCAAAAGCCTTACAAAAGAAGTTGTAGAAGATTAATTGGCAAACATAGAATAATTTAAGCAACTGAATTATAGTTAAATAGGTGGTAACTTAGTTGGGATGTATTTAAATTAATGTATACATAAATGATTAATAATTAAGTATGTGCCAACATAATTGGTAGATACTTAAACTATAATCACTCAGTTGTAAAGAATTATTGTGTTTCTTTCGAAGTTAGAAACAAATATCGAAGCAAATTAATTTATTTTTTGTCCAACTACCGACTCTTCCCTTTATTAATACGTACAATATGATTAATTAGAACTTGATACATTAATGTAATTGAGGATTTTTCATAAGTTAAAATTGTAATTCCAACAAATTATAAAGTATCCTGCCGCTGGATTGGAACTTGTGTTCTTAGATTTGTGTCATCTGTCAGCCACAATAGCCTTAATAAAGAATTTGTGCTTGATTTTGACCTAATTATCCTCCAAACCTAAAAAGTTAAAAATAATTAAATTGAAAAAATTTTGTTCCAGGGAAATACCAATTTCACCATTATGAATTACCATAAAAAATTAATGAAGGCTACTTCATGTACAGAAGCAAATACACCAGGAATTCCTCACAACACTCACACCACGTGGGGCCTGAGAACTTTTTCTAAAAAAATACACGTTAGTATTCTGGTGCATTTCTGTTGAAATGTTTCTGTGCAAATGGAATTACTCAAAATTAATTCCTACATTGATAGGAAAATATTCGGACAGGTTAAAGATAGCTAAATCTAATTTTTTTTCTACTTTTTAACCACATATTCTTTAAAAATTCATTATTACAAAATACATTATCAACAAAAATGGGGGCTCAACTACATTCTTAATACCGCACACTTCAATCAAATTTTGAAAAATAGAGGATTTTTTTTTTTTTACATGATTATGTTTTAATTACAGATTACATCTATATTGTCATCGGGACTTCACCATAATTACGTAATGTTCTTAACAAAAAGGAAAATTTTATCATCATTTATTGCATTTTTAATTTTCCATTCGAAAAACGAGTCTCTCTCTTTGAATAACTTTTTTTCTTTCAAAAGCGCTTACTCTTATTTGAATTTTCCAATGATATAAATAAATGACAATGTATATTAATTGTATTTGATGTTGTAGGTTTTACTAGTGAGTTTGAAAAACATAGAACAAAGTATAAATATTAATGAATATGTTGACAATTGAAACAAAAAGGTACCTAGAACACTAATATCTTGCCCTAGTGACAAGGTTAATTTAAGTGTTTCACTAACTTGTGCTAGGGCCTAAGATAGACTCTTGCTTGTGCATGTGAGGTTCCCTTATCAAACAAAAGAAAATCAAATAAAGTACAAATTAATTATAATAATAAATACAAGCATTATTCTTTTTTATAAACTCTAGCAGCAAAGATTAATGCAAATTAGGAGGGATATAGCCTATATATGTGAAAGATAGAATTTTACTATAAAAGTTCTTAATTTGTGAAAACAAACACAATTTTTTGAGAGTATCACTAAACGTACAGTATGTCGCATTAACTCTTTAATTCATGATTTATGAGAAATTACAACCCCCACTAACTCTTTAATCCCACTACAAGTTGTTTGACTGAGAAGTTGTTTATGCGATTGAAGAAAAATTTCAAAAATATTGGCAGTTGTGATGGATCCAAGAGTTAAATTATTTGGAGTTCAATTTGCTATTCAAAAAGTTTTAAGTTTTAATATAAATATTGCAAATCATGAATTTGAATGTTTTATTAATGAATTGTATAATTCCAATTTAAGTAAATATGGAAATGATAAAAGTGTTTGTTCATCTACTAGCTCTGCAACATATTCTAAACGTAAATGTTCTTTTTAGTCTGAGATAGCTAAGAAACATCATAATGCGTATAGTTGTAACATTGGTGAGAACACAACACCTGTTGAATTGGAAAGATATTACCAATTTGATCATTACAGTTTAATTCCGGAGGATGAAGTATTAAAATTAGATATCTTAAATTGGTGGAAAACAAATGAAAGATCGTATCTAATAATATCAAAAATGGCATGAGATTTACTAACAATTCCGACATCAACAGTGGCATCCGAATCTTTTTTATTGTAAGTGGTAGGGTATTGAATGTATTTTTCTCGTCACTAGGATGAAAATAAGTTTGAATCTTGAAAACAAGAAATTAGGAATTGAATTTAGAAACCATCACAGAGAAATATTGGTATAATCGAATCTTTGACCAAATGGCAAAAACAAGCATGTCAAATGTTCTGATATCATTAACTTAGAACTTCTTTTTGATATTCGATCTAATTTTTCCTCTCTATCACATTCATGGGAAAAACATAATTGAAAAAGTGTTTTCAATTAAATTGTTGACAACTTCTTTTTGATATTCGATCTAATTTTTCCTCTCTATCACATTCACGGAGAAAACATAATTGAAAAAGTGTTTTCAGTTAAATTGTTGACAACTACAATATGTCACATTAACTCATTCACGTAACCTGATTTAATTTATTTATATTATGAGAAATTACAACCCCACTGCAAGTTGTTTGACATCTTCCTATGGTTACAAAATTCAGAGTAAGTAACCTCTTCGTGTCACTATAAACACAATTGAATGAAAACGATTATGTTTAAACAGACGTCATTTAGCGTTGACAAATTGGCTAAAATAATTTATATCCTTTTGTCCTCCTTATCTCTTTATATAACCGCTGCATCAAAACTCAAGATCATAGGCGCAACTAATAGCACATCCCGTGAAGTTCTTTTCTCTACTGTTCTCTTCCCTTTTCATCTTTTGTCTCATAAGTAATTATTTTGAACAATCTTCTTTTGCATGAATGTCATAGTTCTGATATAAACTTTTAAGTCCATGAGTAACACAATGACGCCGAGGATTAAGATCATGTTTATGACAGAGGTTGAAAAATTCTCGTTCTTGCCTGTGTTTTTTCAATTTCTTTTGTGACTTGTTTTGTTCTTGTTGTAAAAAAAGACATGGATTTGGGTAAAGGAAAAGTTAAGAAAGGATTGATGATCAAAACATGGGAGAGATGCAAATCCTTTAGTGGGCTTGGAAGAAAAAACTCTTCAGGAATTCGGCATGCTCTTAAGATGAAGAGCAAATCATGGCCTCGTGGCCTAATAGGCGGCACCACCAGCTCCGATGAAAACCGAGGAAAAAAATATCGAGTGGCGCCGGAAGGTTGTTTCTCAATCTATGTGGGACCTCAAAAACAAAGGTTCGTAATCAAGACTGAATGTGTTAATCATCCTCTCTTCAAAACCTTACTTGAAGAAGCTGAATCGGAATATGGATATAGTNNAGCTGAATCGGAATATGGATATAGTACTGATGGCCCTCTTATGCTGCCATGTGATGTTCATATTTTTGTAAAAGTGCTGGTGGAGATGGAATATCCCGACGAGATTAATAGTCTGCAGGGATGCAACTTTGCTAGGAGTCACAGCTCTTACCACCTCCTCACGCCGCCGCGAATTGTGGTGATGAATAAATTTTAAAGTTTGCGGCTCAAGGTGTAAATGCCGTTTGTAAGATCTTAATCTTGTGTGTTTTAGATTTACTATGAGTGTTTTCTTACCAGAGATAAAAACTAGAGCAATTGAGTATCTGGTTTATGTCAAATTGAAGATGGACAGAAAATTCCATGCTATGTTATATATGTAAAATAAAAAATATAGAAGTTTTTAAATGTTTCTGTCTTTCAATTTCGGTGTAACAGTAGTTTTTTTTTAATGTTACTTAAGCTGCACATTAGCAATTTGACGATTTTTTCCTCTAGCATTGAGTTATGTAATTGATTTTAACCTGAACATCAATGATCTATGTGGCTCGTATTCACATATTTAAGTAAGTTGGAGATAAAAAGTTCCACTTTTTAAGTCGGACAATCAAAACTCCACTAATTGAAAGATTGGAGAAACAAAACATAATTTTCTCAAATACATATAGTTCCTATTTGGTGCATATTAAAATTAAATTTTTTAGTAAATTTTGATCAAAATTGATGTGTGGTTGAAATTTATTATTCGACTTAAAATATTTAACACTTTTTAATTCATACCAAACAGAGGTATATTCTTGTGATTTATTATAGAGATTCCAAATAGAAAAACCTCGGTTGTTGTGATTTATTTAATAAGGGAAAAATATAAGCTTTCAATGCGTCACGAAAATACACGAACTTGTGACTTCAAGGTTTTATTCTATCTTGTTTTGGGGAAAAAAAAATTACACTTGTCGAGCTTCAATTGATCAAAATATGAATTAGATTTACATATATTAATAAATAAATTTATCTCCTAACTAAAGATATAATTTTTTAACTCGAATATTTATATTTGGTGGAATTATTGGTGTTTTTAAATTAGTTATGACCTTGAAGAAAATGCCAATTGGCAAGTGATGAACAACGCAAAGTTAGATCTCATCTACATATTATTCTTTATTTTACCCATAATAAGTTGGATATTATATTCTTTTGGATTTTTCTAATGCAGTTAGTCCACAAATAAATATGAGATGTTAGAGTTTAATTACTTAAAATTTATAATTTGGTCGGCTGTAAGTCCACCACCTTATCCTATTATCTTTGGCACAATTGGATGTTACTAAATTACAATTATTGTGAATTAATTTATTATTTAGTATATAAAATCTAATTTGTAGCAGTCCAATTGTTGAAACTGTTCGAATTGATGACCCAAATTAGGGTTACCATATGTGAAAAACCAAAATTATGTTGGAATATTTGGAAATATATTTTTCCTTCTTTGCA